TAAAGGGGATCTAAAAAACTTAAAACCCCTTTTTAAAAGTACTGAGGGCTTAAATTTTTTTTTATCGGTAGAGTATTCGTTTTAACTAAAATTTATGTGTTAAGGTGTGGCACAATTAGTTTGCACATTTGTTTAAAAGCAAAAAGTTGCGTATAACAAGCTCATAACAACGCATAAGTTAATTAACATAAGCTCATTTCAAAAGAAAATGCAATTTCGGGACATTTAGAAATATCTATTTTTTCTTTTGTTTTGTGATCCGCTGAAAAATATTTTTTAAAAAAAAAAGTCAAAGTGGGTTTTGACTTGCATATTACAAATCTGTGTTCAAATCCAAGAAAACAATTGCTGTTCAAAAGCTTTTAATTTTGAAATAAAGAAATGCAATGAATATTTCTATTCAATTACTTAATCATTTAACATGTTAAAAAATATTATACATTTTGAATAAACTTAGCGTTTTTAATAATCAAATTTTATAAGAAGTTTTAAAATATTTGATCTCTCACACGTTATTATAAAACATTATGTGATTACAACATATCTCATAATAATTTTATTTCCTAAGAGCTGAGAAATCAGAATTTACACATTAATTTCTCTTTAATAAGTAGAAAATTCGGTGACTATTTTTTTTATTAAGGATGACTGCCTATTGTTCCAAAGCTTCTTTGCATTGAAGTCAAATCGAAAAAACATTCGATAAATTAAAATTGTAATAGTTCACTTTAGTTGAAATGATCAACACACTATAGCGATAATAATATGCAAAGAAAAAAAATCATTATAACATTGTTCCAAGTTTTCCCACTTCTTAAAGTAAAATATATAAATTATTTATATAAAAAAAAACTACCTCAACGAATCTGTAGAGACAACCAGAGTAGTAATTTAGAAGCCAACTGCGGATGGCGAGTCAGAAGATTCTCCCATTCGCTGGAATTTAAAACCAGGTGCCTCTTTTCCGAGATGTATTCCCGAGCAGCGTTGAACAGTAACTCGTCATGGTGAGCGTCAGCCAGGACTAAAATTTCGCAGACATTTTTATCTGTTAATTTAGAAACTAGAAACAGCTTGCATTGCTCTGTCAATGAAGGCAAACCGTATTTCACAGCGGCAATATACAACTGCATATACCTTTCGAAAGTGTAGACGTGTATTTCGCCTCGATAGACGTACTTCAGTAGTTCCCAAATGATCTCTAAATTCAAATCCGAAAGATCCAGATGAATGACGTTGTCTTCGATTGAACAGTCTTGAAGCATCTTGTGAAATATGGGAGACCTCATAGCGAGGACAGCTTTGTGGACCTCTAACTTTTCCTCTTGTGCTTGGATAGTGGCGTCTGTGAGGTTTCCCGTAATCCAAAGGCATTTTAAGTCCTCTCTGAGTTGGCGCACACTGAGAAATCTGGATTGATCTTCAACGGGGGTTGTCCAAGAACAACTTTCCCTTTCCACTTCGGAAGTCTGACGACCATCCGATACCACGAAATCCAAGCACAATTGCAAAACATCATTGGGCAGGTAGACCACGTTCTCGAGAATTCGGTTCTTCCTCATGTTCAGAATCGGGAACCGGCACTCCAGTCTGTCTCTTTGGAACCATTTCTCGTATTCCTTCGAGCCTATCAAATCGTCAAGTGTTCCCATCACAGATATTCTACAGCGAAAGTAGATTTTCGACGTGTTCTTCCACCTCACGCGATGGATGCATACTTGAAAGCTGTCACCATTTTCAGAGTCATCGGTGAGTGAACACGTCAACACCAAGTGTATCAGCTGCAAATTGACAAATTTGTACACTGGGAAATCTTTTCTTTCACGTGTGCTGAAGTTCTCGATGCTCCAGAGGACTGATTTTCTAATCGCTTCGATTCGAGTTTTGACCTCGATGTTCGCTGGTCTAGGAAAAATGAGTTGTTTCAGTTGCTTCAGATCGTAATTTTCTGCCATTTCGTAGAGCCCAACCAATACGTCAGCACTCGGATTTCCTATTTTACCTGAATAAAGGTAGAACAAAAAAGCCTTCAGTATTAAGGATGACACACCATGGACCTTAATATTATTCGAAAAGGGCTCGTCACGAATTATTCCAAGCTCAGCTGCAAATTTAGGGGCCCGAGCACATATTAAAACTCTGTGAACTTTGAACTCCTCATCGGATGTACTCAAAGACAAGTCACTGAATGAACCACTTTCGAACAGATTTCTCAAGTTCTGACACAGTTCTTCTAGATTATCGTCCTGCATTTCTTCGTCACTCGCATTGCGCGTCAAGTGACATTTAATGCGTAAAATATCGTCAGGAAGTACAATATCTTTGCTTTTAAAAATCGATTTCCTGACGCAGAATCGCCGAAATCCGAGTATATTGCCGATTCGAATGTATCTGGAATGACCTTTGTGTAGTCTGAAAGTTGTATCGCCTCGTCCAAGTATGGAAATTTCAAAATTCACTCTCCCCAAATGTGTTGAGTTGTCTTCGAGGTATTCGAGATAGCACGACAAATATTTTCCGCTCTTCTTTCCTCTTGGGTACAAATGTAAACGCCATTCTGTGTCAAGGAGTAAGACGGAAGAAAAAATTGGACTGATTATCACTTCGCCAGTCCAATGTCCACAGCTGCTGAAATTTTCTATCTTCCATAAAAATTCCCCCTTTTGCTGATTACTCATGTTGCATATCTAAAAATCCCTCGTCGATTTTTCAGAAGCTTCAGTGTCCATCGGAACATTTAATTATTACGGAAATGCTGAAAATTCCTTTCTGAAATTCGTTTAGTTAGTGAATTGGTTTCAAAGGCAGAAGCGAGAGGCATTATTCCGCTTCTTTATCTCTCATTGAACTGCGGTAAAGTGCTTTTTTATTTCACGTCAAAGAACTCTTGGAAGTGATATCTTATCTCGCAAAACTTATCGAAACGAAAGTGAAAAAAAAGATATGGAAGAAGGAAGTTGTATACAGATTTAATTTCTACAGCACGCACGTAGACTTCTACTTGTAATCTGGCTTGAATTAAAACACAGTCAGTCACAAAAGTCTACATACACCTATCAAAATAGGGTTATCTCTAAAACTGATTAAGTTTCAATTTAAAAAATTATATCGATCTTTCAATTTCAGCAAAAAAATATGCTTTTCACAATAAAAAAGTTCAGAAATAATAATTACTGGGAAATTTTGTGAAATGTGTAGCGATTGTCACGTCACAAAAGTCTGCATACACTCGATTGGCTGATAATAAGAATTTTGCATACAAATTTTTTTTCGAAAATCACCTTAGTTTGAAATGACATGTATTGTTCTACATTCTAATCTTCATTTTCCGCGATTTTTCAACATTGTAACTTCAACAAAATGAGCCAGGGATAGGAAACATCTTTAGAACTTCGAAATCTGATCGTTAAGTTGAAAGGTGAAAATAAATCTTATTCCGAAATTGCCAAAATTGTAAAAAAAACTCGGTCAACTGTGCAAACAATCTATAGAAATTACGTTATGCGTGGAAATGTGCTCAATAAATCTCGATGTGATCGTCCACACAAGCTTAGTGATCGTGATGCAAGAGCCATAGTAAGAAAAGTGAAGAAAAATCCGAAAATTAGTGCTCCAAAATTAGCGGATCAAATTGCAACAGCAAGTGGAAAGAAAGTACATCCAGAAACTGTTCGTAGAATTCTTCGATCAGGCGGTTACAATGGCAGAGTTTCCAGAAAGAAACCGTTCATCTCATCTGTGAACCAACAGAAGAGACTTGATTTTGCTTCTGCACACGTTGACAAGGATTTTGACTTTTGGAAAACAGTTGTATTCACCGATGAGAGCAAATTCAACGTGTTTGGAAGTGATGGTCGCGGAAAAGTCTGGAGAAAAAAAAACACACAGCAATGAACCCCGAGAATTTGACTCCAACTGTGAAACACGGCGGAGGTAGTGTAATGGTTTGGGGCGCAATGGTGGCAACTGGAGTGGGCAATTTGGTGTTTATCGATGGCAACATGAATAAATTTGGATACTTAAAGATTCTGCAAAGCAATCTACACCCATCGGTCCAAAAATTGGGACTTGGGAGCAACTATGTCTTTCAACAAGACAACGATCCGAAGCACACAGCTTAGATTGTTAAAGAATGGCTGCTCTACCGCACGCCTAAGCGACTGCATTCACCGCCACAGTCGCCGAACCTTAATCCCATCGAACACCTCAGGGAGGAAGTTGATAGAAGAGTTCGGCAACAAGCAATAACCAGCAAGGCAACTCTGAGGAAGGCCATAGAACATGCCTGGGCCCAAATTTCACATGAGAAGACGAAGATTCTTGTTATGTCAATGCCAAACCGAATGCAGGCAGTTATTGCTTCAAAGGGAGGTCCTACAAAATATTAACATTACATTTTTGCTTATTAATTATTGCAAATTGTGTTGTTCTATCCCTGTATGTAGACTTTCGTGACTATATAATTTCATATTTTGTTTATTTTTGATATATTTTAATGAATCTGTTCATAATTTTCTTTATTAGATATGAATTATTGTCTAAGATAATTACGAAAATAAAGTTGTGCATTTTCGAAAATATAAGTATCGTGCTAGATCTGTGTGTATTGGGGGGTGTATGTAGACTTTTGTGACTGACTGTATATTTTTTTGTACAATTTTGAAAGTTTTCCTTTATTTACAGCAAGTTTTGTTTAATGCAGCTAATATATCAACTATATTTCGTAAATCCCTTAAAAATAGTAAAAAATATAGTTGTTTTTTAATTCCTACTATTAATTCACACTCTCCCTATATATTTATCTTATTCAAATATTTGATCGTTAATAAAATACTTTTTATTCATCTACTCAAGTTTAAATACATTTTTTTATACTTGTAGTGAATGACACGATGTTAGTACAGTTTTTTCAAATATTAATTGAATTTAATGAATGAATAGCAAGAAACAAAACTAATAGTCCAACATCCTATATAAAAAGGAAAATTGATCATTGTGTTCTTGTAACGCAGTGGATAGCGCGTTGGACATCTAATCCAAAGGTCGTGGGTTCGAATCTTACCTGAGAGAGCTTGATTTCTGAGAATGTCATTTATGAATGAATAAATAGTAACAATCACAAAAATAATAGTTCAACACCATAAATAGAAAGGACAATGGAAAATCGCTTTCTATTTTGCCGCTTAATATTGTGATTCTCTCATATTTGTATACATATTTATTTTAAATATAATTATTTAATAAAAAGTAACAAATAAAAATTTTCTTTGTTGACCTAAGTAGGAATTGACTTAATTGTATATATGGCTTGTTTTAGTCTTTTCCCAATCTCGTTGCAGCTATTTAATTTTTTTTCTAAGTACATGCTTGTATTTTCAATATTTCTTACGACATTCGTCCCATGCATAAAGAGTTTTTTTATTATCGAATTCAAAAAAGTATGAATCAATAGGAATTGAAAATGACAACCGCAATTTAAAAAGAAAGGCAATTTTCATAACTATTTTTAAAAATAAATTCCATTTGATCTTATGATCAGTCATTCGCTGCATTCTTTGTAAAATTTTAATAAAATGAATGCATTTATTGATTAAATAAAAATTTATTTTTGAAATAGAATATTTTATTGTAATAAATTTGCAATTATTGTGAAATTTTTTTTAAAGTTCTTGTATAATAAATTTATCCTAGCTAATATAAAAATTCATCATTTATCAAAAAAGTACTGATTTAATATATCGTTTGGAAGATGCCATTACTCGTTTCAAAAAGAGTGTTTTCTCATAATTAATATTATTAAAGAATTTAGGAGCTATCAGAATGACAGTCAGTTTGCTTTCTACTGACATCGAATACTCATTTAAAATTAAACAAATTCGCTCCATTTCTATTGCACTCTATTTCTCCTTTGATCAAAGTTTTATTGAGATACAACTAAAGTGTTCAAAACAATTTTAGAACCAAAATATTTTACGCACGAATAGAACATTTTAAAAAAAATCATCAAAACAAAAAAGCCATTCATTTTTTGTCGAGTTTATTGAAGAATATACGAACAAATGTAAAGAGAAATGACGCAAACTCGTGTGTAAAAAAGTCATTTTATTGGCTATATAAGAACTGAAAAAAATGTATAAATCACAGATGGTTAATACGAGAGCATTTTACAAAAACCTTTGCTTAGAACAGAATATTTTTGAATGTTTCAAAACAAAGTGCTCGCCGACGCGACTAGAAAAATACAACGTACGTTAAAAACTTTGTACAAGAGGTAAAAAATTGTTGACGAAAGGTGAACCTCTTTCATTTGAGGACGATCCTTTCAGAAAGTTAAAGTAGAAGTTATTCTCAAAAGGTTCGAATTGTTCTTTGTGCGTAATACACTGCTGCTTAAATGTATTCAAAGTTCCTCCGAGAAAAATCCTTGAAGAATCGGCGGAATTTCCACACAGCACCAACAGTCACTAGGCGACAAAAACGTTGCGATACATTGCTTCTGTAAAGATTTAGGGATGATAGGTATTTTGTTTCTTGATTGATTTGAAAATCCTTTAAGACAGGAAATTTTCAGTAAACTAAGGATTTTTTTTCTGTATATATTATTATATAGCAGTTATAGTCGTGATGAAAACATCAGAATAAATTACGCAATGGCGAAAAAGCAATAATAGCAATTCTCTAAAAGTAGTTACGATTATAAAGTCATTGCATCATAAAATTGTTGTCAGGAACGAAAAATATACAGACAAAAGTTTAAATAAATTCATGTAAGTTCATTAATTAATTAGTTTAATTTTAAAAGGCAGATTGTTTTCTTATATTTCAGAAAACTAAAACTTTACAAGGGATTATAGTTTTAAAAATTACTTTTCATAAAAAAAATTGTTTTTCTTGTCAGAAAATCTATTCATTTTTACAGTACAAAAAATATGTATAAAATCTTAAAGGAAAACTTAATAATTAAAGTAATTCAGATATTCCACAGCATTTTTGAGTATTATCAATATGAAATTATTTAAATTTCATGTTTTGTATTTTTCTCTCAAAAAAATTATCTTTCATTGTTAGAAAACACCCTTATTCTGATTCAAGGAAAGGAATCCCAACATAGATTTGTTACGTTATTGGTTATGATTTAATTTTAATAAATTAAACAAATTTCGAACAAAATATAGTTATGCACTCCCAAATTTTATGTCTTCTGTCCATTAAATGATACAGCAATATCATAAATTTCAAAAAACCTTTTTTAAAGTTATTTTCATGTAATATCGTACACCTCTGCCTTATTCCAATGCTGAAATTTTTGATTATATTCTTATTTCTTTTATCTTCCGTAACTGGATAGCCCGTTTCAAATTATTTGAATTGGGTTTAAATTTCATCGAATAACTAATTATTACTTTTATAATTGGTTGCAAAAAGGTTATATGACTTTTCCACCGCATAACAAAAGTTATTTTAACTTACGATCTTCGCAATGTTGTAGAGTAATTTTCTGCTCCTGGCTTCTATCATAACAATGCTTCATTTTTTTCAAGAACATGCGAATGCTTAAAATGCATGCTTTGATTATTTGGTACTGATTGTGTTTTCTTTTGATTCATCATTGTTTTTTATTGCTCCAAATAAATAACCAAACTGCATTTTCTTTTATGCAAACTACTTTGTTGACAGTAAAAGGGGAGAAAGAGAAGTTCTGTTTCATTTCGATTTAAAATGAAGACATCGTCTTGTGCTTTTTCAGTTACCAGAAGGAATTTTCCTTTAGAGTCGATTTCCCACTCGGCAGCATTTCTGGTCAGGAATTTTTCCACCACCTCCACAAATAACTTATTCTTGATTTCTTTCCCTGAAAAAAGAACAATAAACAATAATAAAAATTTAACATTTGAAAAAATTAATTATATTAATTCTTATCTGATCACAGGCGTAGCTAGTCCTGAGTGGGCACTGTATCTGTACTGTATTCCTTGGGACTCCTCTTTTTGTCCCTTAACATTTTAAGATTTTTTGCTTACATATTTTGGAGCCCTTGAAGCTGGGAAGGGGGAGGCACATCATTGGTACGGCCCTGTGTCAGGTATCATATCATAACTGTTATGGTTATATGGGCACTCTGAAGGACTATGGCAAAAATAATTTTTCTTTTTCGGTAGATTCTCTACTAGTTTTCTTGTCTTGATATTTAAACAACTTTTTTTCCTAGTAATAATTTTGCCTGTTTTCTTAATAAACTCTTCCAAAAAGAGGTAAAGGCTAATAACGGAAATTATTTTCCATTCTTTTAACTGAATATGAAAGACATTGCATGATGTCATGTGGAATCTAGAGGAACCAATTTAGGCATCGTGCTTTTAATTCGATGCTGTTTCGAAATGACGAAGCCTATTATATATCTGTAGTGCAACCTTAATTTTTTTAAAAATAAATCCTTTGTAAAGGCCAAATTATCTATTGGGTTAAATAAGACTTCAGATTAGGAAATAAAAGTGCATCAATTCTTAATGTTGTTGTCGTGTGTTTTTATCTTGGGATACATATGAAATACAAGTTAAGAACAGAAACAATACATTTATTACACATGATGATGATCCCAGCATATAACAGAAGGGGTGCGCTGCTTTCCTTTCGAGACGGAAATCCATTACACAGGCGAAAGTCCGACTTCTTTTCCCGAAGAAAATACAACCATGCCTTACTCGGGATTCAAACCCACTCGGTTACAAGCCAAGGGTCATACCCACCATACTGGTTGGGCGTCATTAATTTTTAACTCAAATGATACAAAATAAACTATTTCCCGAATTATTTCAAAATCTTTAAGCCCAATGAAGGATCAGGACGGACGAAGCCGAAATAAAACTCTAGAGCTGTATAACTTTTTAGGAGTAGTACCTATCCTATTCCCACTTTAATATTCCAACAATATTAGGGGTAATTAACCTCGCTTAATGAAGAAATCCATCCCTATATAAGATAAAGACGGTGCTGTAAAATTCCCTCGCAGTATGGTCAGCGTTGCCATTCGCTATATCTAAATGAAGCCATTAACAGTTTACGGGGCCTGTAAACAGGTGCTGCCGATGGCTTGATTACTTTTTCATCCTTGTTTACGGCTCCCTCCTTCTACGGGTTCATTAGTCAACGAAGCCGATTAACATAGGACGCTTTCTAGACCCTGGTGGCTGTTAAAAGGAGGAGTCCTTTCGATTGGAGTCCCTAAAGAGGTCTAAACACTAGATACCATTAATTGGATTTCTTGATGAGATGGCCATTAAAATCCGCTATTTGGCCTACTTGAATCTAATGGAGGTGAACTTTTAAAGGCCGAATTCTATTCCGAGTTAAAAGAATATTTTTAAACGAGGTCTATTGAAATTTCAATTTCTAATCTATGTTATCAAAAATGAGTTCGTGCAGGGCACAAAAAGACGGGTAAACCCAAAAGGTACATGAAATAGTTTATGCGGAAACTATGGGTGAGATGTGATTTTGGCCTTGAAAACATTTTCTTCTTTTTTTAATTCGCTTTCAATTTTTAAAATATAATATTGAAACGGTTGTTGTGTTCGACCTCGTAAGAAATGTCCAAGGCTTGCGATTTTCGCAGAGCTGCTTAAAGATTGGATTTATTTTTGTGGGCTTGTAAATCAATCAGTCGATTTTCTTTACGAGTTTGACTTCTTAAAAAATTTTAAAGCATTTCATAAAGATATACAGGGTGTCACTGAATTCGGTAGAGAAATTCAGAGGGGTGATAGTAGGCTGAATGGGGAGGGCAAACATGGCTTATACACAACCATAACATGGGGTCGCAAATCAACTGAAGGAATTGACTTAAAAAAATAAGCTTTTTTTTATATTACACTACTGGCTATTGAAAGTGCTACACCAAGAAGGCGACATGTTACAGACATAAAATTTAAACGGCAGGAGAAGGTGTTGTGGTTTTCAAATGATTAGCTTTTCAGACAAAGCAGGTGCCAGTAGCGACCCCTACAATGTGTTTAAATGAGGAAATTGTTCAGCCGTTTCTCATACACAAATTGCATTTGAAGGTTGTTGCC